CTTGCTAAAATTCCCCCCCCCCATTTCATCGTAGGTGTTTTTTTTCACTGCTTCTGTCTTACTTTGCCATATTCTCTTTTTATATGACCAACTGTTGCGAATCGGACGTGGCACACATGCTTGTTCACAGAGAGCAACTTGGTTTAGTCAGTAGAGATTGTTTAGATAAATAAATATTTATAATTAAGGCTCAGAGGACACCTAAATTGCTACTCTGTGTGTGCAACCACATAGAAATCAGAAGTGTGCAGCATGGTAGGCAGATTGTTTTCCATCCGTCAACATATCCTCATTTTAAAACAGTAGTCAACACCCTTTAAAAAATTAAGGGAACTAAGAAGGAAGCTGTGGAAACTAAACCCTACCATAAAGTGGGCAGCATTCAGCGATCCCGCACCTTAAAACACGTAGGAGATAAAAAAATGCTTGATAGGGTTGTTGCCAAAGTGTGAGATAGGACCGTGGTTACTGATATGACCATATGAGGGTTCGAAACACTCATTGTCGTTGGAGAACTCTTATAAGAACAGGGGCTATTGCTGGCTACGGCAGAACTGTCCAGCTGGCTACAAGATCAACCGTTCCGCTGGTGGAACAGGAGGAGCTCATTGTTGACAGCAGTGCCGAAGCGTATAGGTATTATTAGTTCATCACCGAGATGTCGGACATGTGAGCTTGTGGACTGCAGAGTTCATTGACGGGGAGGCAAAAATAGAAGAAACCGCTACGATCACCATCAGAGACCGCGAAGACCATCGTCATGTTTCCAAAACGGAGAAAGGTTGTGAACATTTGGCAATGACGGTGGAAAGAGGATGGGTTGAAAAACGGCAGCGAAAAATAACTAAGCAGAGGACGATACAAACATACATATATGAATACCAAATACCACATCCGGCGGACAGACCAGTGCTATCGAGGGATATGGGAGTGGCTTTAAGCGGGGATTACGATGATATTGTGCCCTATCGGCCGTGATTCGGCATCCAGCATCAAGATACACCTCGGTCCCGTAATATATCCTCAAGGCATATTGCCGTACTCTATCCCGTCGGTGGGGAGTCAGGTAACTGCGGTTTACATAATAACTAGCAGAGACTTTCAGAAAGAAGCCATTGTTCCCATGGAAGAAAGATGAATGAAAATGTAGCCGCCAAGCATTGCCACTACCTGCCGCTGTAGGTCGACGACATCGCTGTCCTTTCGGGAGTCCTGGTCATGGACGAGAAGGATCTGGCCGTGTATTCATAGTCCGAATAGAAATAAGAGAAATGTCCCATGGGAACAAAGGAGAACTTTTCGCGTAAGGTGAAAGAAAAGAGCTTTTATTTACGTGCCAGTGGTGATTGTTGTTTGGTTGGTAGTTATATTTTCTCTGATTGGTGGGACTGTGATATGAAGCGTTGTCCCTTTTAAAGTAAAATAATGGACCCGGCCGACCTGGCTTCTAGGCATTGGCATCAATTAGGGAAAACCGTAAGGTCGCCTTCGGAAATTCTACTTAGTCGTAATTCATACAGTTAACAAGGGTAAACTGTCTGTGCCAGCCGAAGGTAGTTCGCAGAGGCAACGATAAGGAGAAGAAAACGAAGGTCGGGTGGCGATGAGAAGATGGTATAAAGATGTGTAGAATTACTCGACTAGATATCTCTGTTAAAGAAAATGTTAACTGGCAGTTGGGAGTGAGCTGGGCATGCCGACTGAACTGCCGTTCAGGTCGTCCAGTTTGTCACCTAAAACGCGGCGGATAGGTAAGTGCGCAAAGTGCGAGCGATACCAGCTTAATTGAAGCATGTCTGCTAAATGTTGGATGTCCACACAGGCAATGTTGAAGGTCTTGGTGTGTATGCAAGCAGATGGGCATATCAACAGCCTTTTAGGTACCATAGAGTATAGCGGATAGCAGGAGAAGATGGCTAGGCTACCTGTCCGCGTGCGCTGGCGAGTTGATGGCCCTAAGTGATTATAATTAGCCGGAAAGGTGTATGCTGAACCCGCTGAAAGTAAATGCCTTAAATAAAGGTGTGGTTGGAAAGTTGTGCAGCCGTCTGGTAGATACAACCTTTGCCCACCCACGCAGCTTAACGGCAGACAGGAGCAATAGGCAAATGCCTGACACCGGTACACGTGAGTGGGCGAGTTTTTTCATGGTATTTGAGCAAGTAGATGGGGATTAGGATCGACTGGGAAAGCTGGACACCATTCCGAAACGCGTGTGGCCGTGACAGAGGATGTGGTTTCGAAGGTGTACAACCGTGCTTTGTAGCTAAACAGAAGGCAAGGCTGGTGGGCAAGTGCAGGACATTAGTACAGGGAGCGGCTGCGCGTTTGAGTAAGTAGGTGCAAGTAGATTTGGAAAAATGCATATTTTGCGTCCTGAGTAGGATCGATTTCGGGGTAGGAAACCAACGCACCGCGCAGCTAGGATCTTGTTGAAGCAGGTGATCGGGCAGCGTCAAGGGTCAAATGGCTGTCAGTATGCAACTGCAAGGTAATTAAAGCACCAGTTTGGTTGGCTTCCTTGGGCAAATACAAAAGAATACCGTACAGAGTGTTGGAAAGCTTGCCTCAACTGACCTACGCTTGCCGATAATGGGCGAATGAACAGTCAATCTAGGTCGGCGCCTGAATAAAATGGGATTACCGAGCGTAACTCTAAAAAGCCAAGGGAAAGTCACCT